CATCCTTGGTGAGGCAATTCCACCAGATGGTACTAACACAGTTTGGAACGAGAATAAAGATGTTCAGATCTGACAATGCTAGGGAATATTTTGAGAGACATCTTGCCTCATATCTGTTGGAGTATGGTGTTGTCCATCAGAGTAGTTTCTCCTACAGTCCGCAGCAGAATGGTGTTGCAAAGAGGAAGAACAGACACATTGTTGAGACGGCAAGAAGCATGATGATCACAGCTACAGTTCCGGTTCATTTTTGGGGTGATGTAGTTCTCACGGCAGTATATCTGATTAACAGGGTGCCTTCCCGTATACTTAGATTCAGCACTCCATTCAGCCTTCTTTTTCCTCGTGGGGAGATGTTTCATATTCCTCTAAGGGTGTTTGGGTGTGTCTGCTTTGCGCATATCCTTGGTCCTTACCGTTCGAAGTTTGATCCCAAGGCAAATAAATGTGTCTTCCTTGGATATGCAGAGAATCAGAAAGGGTACTGCTGCTATGATCTAGTCTCTGGGAACCGGTATGTTACTATGGACATTACCTTTTTTGAATCTACGTACTTCTTCTCAAGGAATCCTTCTCAGGGGGAGTGTTTTGGGGAAGTAAGTCAGCAGTCTATCCCTCTCCCAATTCCAGTCCCTGTGTCTACTCATGTGCTTGACCACCACCCGATATCACTTACTTTGCCACCTCCTTTGCGTTCCGTCTCACAGCATTACTCACGGTAGAGACTTTATAAGGCGGTTGATTCCACTACAGTAGAACTCACACCACTTCCTGTCGATCCCTTGGAGACTCCAAATTTGGCTGATACGGATTCAGGTATTCTTCTTGATCCCACTACTATTTTAGTTCCCATTGGTCATACTAACACTGTTACAGATAACCTTGATCTCCCTATTGCTCTTAGAAAAGGGAAGAGAAAGTGCACTGCTCATTGTATTTCACAGTACTTATCCTACAGTGGACTTTCTCCTTCCTACCGTGCTTTTCTCTCTTCTCTTGATTCAGTGTCTATACCCAAGGGTATTAGTGAGGCTCTCTCCAAACCTGAGTGGAAGACAGCTATGTAGGAAGAGATAGAAGCTTTGATTAAGAATCAGACATGGGAGATTGTGGACCTACCAGAAGGCAAGGAGACAGTTGGTTGCAGATGGGTTCACACAGTAAAGTATAAGGTAGATGGAAGTATAGAGAGGTACAAGGCAAGACTTGTTGCGAAAGGGTACACACAGACCTATGGCATTGATTACCTTGAGACATTTGTGCCATTTGCAAAGATGACCTCTGTTCGGATACTCCTTTCTCTTGCTGCCTCATACTCTTGGCCCTTGTTTCAACTGGATGTAAAGAATGCTTTCCTAAATGGGGATCTGCAAGAAGAGGTGTATATGGATCTTCYAGCTGGTTTTTATGATAATGCTRAARAGGGAAAGGTATGCAAGCTGAAGAAGTCACTATATGGCTTGAAACAATCTCCCAGAGCATGGTTTGACAGATTCAGAAAGGCCCTGATTGTTTTTGGCTACACTCAAACTCAATCTGATCACACCTTGTTTGTGAAGCGCAGGGGATCTTTGGTGTCAATCCTGATTGTTTATGTGGATGATATTGTTGTCACTGGGAATGATCTGAGTGAGATTGATAGTCTGAAGAGGAACCTGCATAAGGAATTTGAGATTAAGGATCTTGGAGAACTGAGATACTTCTTAGGCATCGAAGTTGCGAGATCGAAACATGGAATCTTTATCTCTCAAAGGAAGTATGTCTTGGACCTTCTCCAAGAGATAGGAAAGCTTGGAACAAAGGCAGCTAGCACCCTCATTGGTCAGAACCATAAGAATCAGTGCATCAGAAGGTGAACCAGTAAAGGACCTTGGGAGATATCAAAGACTTGTGGGTCGGCTACTATACTTGTGTATGACAAGACCAGACATCTCCTATGCAGTAAGTGTAGTGAGTCAATACATGCATGCTCCACGAGACCAGCACTGGAAGGCAGTTGACAGGATCCTTGCTTATTTGAAGGGACATTCAGACAGAGGCATATTGTTTACTGATTATGGACAGTTGAAGCTAGAGGCTTATACAGATGCGGATTGGGCTGGATGCCTTGATGACAGAAGATCAACTTCAGGAGTGTGCACCCTAGTTGGGGGTAACCTAGTCTCATGGAAGAGTAAAAAACAAACAGTTGTGGCAAGATCAAGTGCAGAAGTCGAATATAGGGCTATGGCACATGGAGTTTCAGAACTTCTCTAGATCCGTTCTCTGTTAGAAGAAATCGGTGTACAGGTAGAAGAACCTATGATGCTATACTACGATAACCAGGCAACAATTAATATTGCCCATAATCTAGTCCAGCATGACCGAACTAAGCACATTGAAGTAGATAAACATTTTATCAGAGAAAGGGTAACTTCTGGAGAAGTTTGTCTTCCATACATTTCTTCTGATTTGCACCTTGCTGATGTTCTCACAAAAAGCGTTGCAAAGAATAAGCTGGAGCATGATCTACGCAAGTTGGGAATGTGTGACATCTACTCCAACTTGAGGGGGAGTGTTGAATGGGCCAATTTGTGTTTAGTTTATTTTCTTTTAAATTAAGAAGTTGTTGGGCCTTGGGCTCATTAGTTTTTATTTTTAAAAGAGTTGTAACTATTTAGTTTGAGTTGCCGCCCTACTAAGGACATCTTTGTAATATCTCATATATAAGTTAAATATAAATAGAATGAGGGGCTGGTGGCTAGGGTTATGATACACAATCCTAATTGACCTTCTTCTTCTTCTTTTCTTCCTCTTTCTCTTCCTATTGCTGAAATCTACAACTTTCCCCACTTCCTTTCACAAGAAGCTTGACCGAATCAACAGATAGTGATTTCTACTATTAACATAATAACACTGATATGTTATATCATGAATAAAATGAATTAAAAATAACTACCATATGAGACTTGAACATGAGTAAATATTAGCATCAAAATATACATACATATGATATGAGATCAGATAGGGGTGGATTTGTGTTCAATCCAATTGTCAAAGGATCAAATTTTGATCACACATATTCAAGCTCAGGTAAATTCAGCCACCATTTGCAGCTCTACTTCTTTCCTTTTTCTTTAAAATGAAATTCTAGCAGTGTTTATTTGCATCTTCTGAGTAGAAAAAGAAACTGCTAGAAAGAGTGCAAGGGAAAAAAAAAGGAAACAAAGACCCTACACTTTCCTCTTAACCTTGATTTCCTTTAAATTAGAACAAAAATCACTTTTTCATTTTTTTTTTACCATAGAATGATAGAAATATACTTACTCCACCCAAAGAACAAATTCCTTAGGAAAGAAGAGAAAGGAGGAGGAGGAGGAAGAAGAAGAAGAAGAAAAAGAAGCAATACCCCATGATTAGTGCATAGTGCGAGGTATTCATTTAGAATATCATGCATTTTTTGCCTTTCTAGCTGTCGATATGCCCTAACTTCCTCTTCTTTCACTTTGCTTGCTGGAAACTTTGCACCCACTGTGAACTAGAAAACAATTTAAATTGAAAAGAAAAAAGAATCAATAATGGATGGAAGCTTTCTTAAAGTTTAGCTACAAAATTTTGACAACAAAAAAAGAATTATTTTTCTCATAGCTAGTTCATTTCCTTTACCCAATTTATATTTGTTCGGATATATTGATATCTCTATTCATTTCCTGATTTCCTGTAGCCCAGACTTCATTATTGAGGGTGCTAAGAGCTAACTTGTTGATAATTATTGGTCAAGCTTATTTCCAATAAACCTTCACTCTCTCGCGCTCTCGGACTGAGTCAAGCAATCCGAATTCTAGGAATATAAGCTCTAATTAAGCTATTCAGAAATCACAACTACGGAAAACTAGAAGAGAAATTTTAAATGTTTAATTATAGAAATGGAGATTATTTGGTAAGAAGTTACATTGAAAATTAATAAATTTCCAGGATTTAATTCGAAATTTAGGATTGACTTACTCGGGCCCATAGGTATCAACTGTGCCGGCTGATGAATATGAAGGATGCATATCTTCTCCCCTCTTGAGTTCCTCAGCGTCCATAGTAGAGTGGATATGTTCTCTTTCAATTCTTTCCCAACCGCCACAAAGATCTTACCATCGACGGTGCACGGAGATTGAAGTTCTTCTACAATCTCACCGCCAGTCTCGATGGATCCAGAGATGCCAAAATGATGAGGCACAATCCTTCCGTGCTGCTCTGGAAGAGCAGGTAGAGCACTGATCAGAATCGCCATGGGGAGAAAATCAGGAAGTATCTAATCCGTTGAGATCTCTCCGACTATCAACTTGAACGCATTAATTTCTATTTCAATCTTCGAATACAAGAAGGAGAAGTAAACAAATCATCGTCAGACACGAATGCGAATGGCTTGACTCGACTCAAATTCAAAACAACTTATTTCGGGATTTCTGCTACAGAGAGTGCTACTCCAATCCATCTTTATACTTCCAAAAAAATTCTTCAATGAGAAATCCGGATTTCATTTTTTTTTTTGAGATAGAAAAGAAAACAGCTGGAGAAGGATCAACCGTCTGCCTCAGAGTAGCGACCCTTCTTCTAGGGCTTATCATCAAGCCTTTCTGTAAAAAGGAAGCGTCTGTCTTGTAGTTGCACAAAATGAAGGAGAAAAGTCAAATGCTTGCAAAGGAAGAGCAGAAGGCATATTCTGGGGCAGATTCATTTTCTGTTACCTCGAGATGACGAGGATCCGTGTGAATGGGGCGTTTTGTTTGAGTGTTTCTTTCTCTGTTTCCTGCTTGCGTCGTTGTTTTTGGCGGGACATCGCTTCTCCTGTTGCTCTTGGTCAACAGTATTAACTAATAACGGTCGCGGCCAGTCTTCACTTCTTCACTTTATGGGGATTATAATCATGGCCCCGGCCCAAGCCCAAGCCCAAGGCCTCGAGAACAACTAAACAAGTGAGGATGGCAATTTTCATACCTTATTAGCCTTTAGGTTTTGATGGGGCCGTACTCCTACCTGTTTTACATGCCACATAGAAGATGATATGGCTCGGGGACTGAGCCATGTCCTCAACCAGGTCAGCAGCGTGGAGTGTCACACGTCGGAACCGATTGTCGAACCGCCCAATGAGAACCCTGGACGAAGTGGGGCACATGGCAAACGCAAAGCCGCTTATGATTGCCCACAGTGAGGAGTGCGGGAATCACTCGAGAACCTTGGCCAATGCCATGGGTCCCTGGAAGCGAGGAGCATGACGGCACTCTTGAGTAGGTATTTAAAGGCATGTCTTATGAGGTATCTCTCTCGACTTTTAACATTGCAGCCTCTTGCTCTTTTTGCACTTCAGCTCTGCTCAGTTAAGATTAGCTCATTCTTAGCAGTTTGGCCTAGCTGACCTATTCGTTTTATTCTGAGTTTCGGAGTGTCTCTCCCAAGAAATTTCCTCGAGGCTTTTGACTTGCTTCTTTGTGTAACTACATGTTGATCACCATGATTGTAGTAACTCAGAAGGTGCTAAACTAACACCACAAAGGTACCTGTGACGAGTTTAGGACTTGACACAAATTTGCGATGAGTCCTGAGTCTGCATAAACTTGCGATGAATTTAGAGCCTAAAACGAATCTGCAATGAGCATAAAGCCATCACAAGGCTGCGATGAGCTTAGATTCAACGCATGCGCAATAAGCACAAACCACTGTGAGGTTGTGATGAGCTTAGAGCCTTCATAAAACTGCGGTAAGCTCAAGTCCATTGCAGGTCAGAAACGAATAAATAAACATGTGCTTCACTAATGACGTGCATGACAAAACACCCAATAAGATTACAAAAGACATGTGAGACAAGCATTAACGTCATTCGTGCCACATCAATCTGAGAGACTCGCAAAAGAAGTAGCATACGTGTTTTATGAGAATCCTCAGGCGAAAGGAAACCTCGTCCTTGAGATATCTCATAAAACATGTGGTGAAACCCTACCAATGTTTCTTGACAATTGACATCGAATCAAAGATTCCCTTCCCTAGTGGGAATCAAACACATTTAGCTCATTCCTTTGGGAACCTCGGGATCATCACTATAAAAGGAGGACTGAGTCATAACGAGGGAGGACATTCTATTCATTATAGCCTTTAGCCTACCCTCTGCCCTCAGCTTTCCTTCGTCTTTCAAGGAATCCCCCGTACATAACCTTACCACACCACTCACATTTTGCATATCTCTCGGTGCTCTTCTTTTCATCCTACCCAACTCGTCCATTATAACAAATTCAGATAAATTCATATAGCTTAGTAGGACTTTTATTTGTTTCCCATCCACCTCTGCATTGACAACATTAAATTGACGTTGTCTATGGGAATTGGCACAAAAAACCTTTGAGTTCTTTCCTTCTTCATACAGTAGTGATCATACCTCACAAGAACATCTTCGACTGCTTTGGTCCTCACTCTCCATCTAGGGGTTCTCATTCTAGACGCATCTCGCCTCCCCATGAAAGAAACTTAGTAACCATAGCCTGTGTCTCATGAAGAGCTTCATAGCCTATAGTTACAAGTTGAACAGCTTGTTGCCATGATGCAAGCACCGAGACAGCTCGTCCCCCAACCTCCATTGCCTCCTACGATAGTGAAGGTGGAATATGAGCGACCTCTTCCATTTCAAAAGTTCGGCTCTAATGTTTAAAACTGAGCCCATAGCGCTCACTCTTGGGGAACCCAACATGGAAACATTTTGGCACCTACATTCCTATTAAGGAGAGCCTAGGACCCCAAGTGCTGCCACAACAACCTCAGTCATAGTGTTCGCAACATGAGTCAAGCTCGGTAAGAGGTCGCCTTGCCCCACCAAAGCCAACCAAGCATGTCAACCTCAACAGTGAGATCAAAGACATGTGCAAGCTCTTGAACAAGCTCAAAAGAAGCAATCTTAACCGTCACACACTGCCTCGAGAGCTCACTCTAACAAGGAGTTTGTGTTCACCTAGGAGATCAAGGATGAGATCCCCCATTAGGACATGACCAAGTTCCTTGCTAGCGTATAGAACCACATCAATGCTGAAGAAGCACAAATACGGTTCTGGGAAGTCAAAAAAATCCAACTTGATATGAAGGGCAAGGACCAAGATGATTACCGGTTTGACTCCCCTCAATGCGATGTGCATTGAACCTTTTGGAATTTCACTGCCCTCAATGCGATGTGCATTGAGGTGTTGATATAGATTTGCAACTGCCACTTTGTCCGATGGCTGAAAAGATTGAAGACTTAGGGTAACAAGAGAATCTGAGACAAGTACTATGAATTCCATAGAGACCACAACCATGACATTGATGACTACAAGGACCTATGTAATCACATCGAAGTTCTCATCTGACACAGGTACTTTGGCCACTTCATGGCCAACCGTCGAGCTCCCTCAATGCAACACGGTTCAAAGTGCTGATATAGATTTGCAATCGCCACTTTGTCCGAGGGCCGAAAAGATTAAAGACCCAAGGTAACAAGAGAAACCGAGACAAGTACTATGAATTCCATAGAGATCACAGCCATGACATTGAGGACTACAGGGACATGCACAATCACATCGAGGATCTCATTTGACATAGGTACTTTGGCCACTTCATGGCTGACCATCGAGCCCCCTACAAAAGCAACTCAGACCATGGTGATGCGCTCGATGATCGAGATCCCCTCTTGTCTGAGTCATTGATGTTGCCTCCAGTGGAATGACATAGGGGGGAGAGCTCCTCGGCCTTGGGCCCTGAAGAAGACTAAGGTTGATGCACCCATCACGTTCATCAAAGATGACCTCAAAGGGGTCCAAATGCCACATGATGATGCTCTGGTGATAACGACAAACATTGCTAACTTCAAGGTACGTCGAGTGTGTTAGACAGTGTATGCCCTTAGCTCCAATTAGATTGATGTACACAAACATTTATCAGTAAATGAATAAAGTACATTGTTGTTTTATGTTAAATTGGTACGTTTCTGTGAATTATTTCTTAAATTGGACACTTATGAGAGTCGTGTTAGTTTAGAATGTTCTCAGCCATTGGATAGACTTTGGGAGTTTATCCTAACAAGGCTAACACTAGTGTGTTGTCGAATTGGTAGAGTAGCTTATCTCAGCCGCTAGGGTTAGACCCCAAGCACAGCTAATGGGTGTTTAGAAGAAACGCTGAACCCAAACCAATTTCCAGTAGGGGTGCAAGGCGGGTTAGCCCGAGTTAACAGTTTACATTATTTTGGTATTGGGTTCTGGGTTGGGTCCATTAAAATTTTGACAAAACCCTAATCCACCCGTAAAAGTTGCACCCATAATTTTCAGTTATGCATTGGACCTTAGAGATAGATGGGTAAAATTGGAAAGTTGCACTTGGCCCCATACTTAATTATGATAGTACACTAGGTATTAGATTGAAGTGTCTTTGATGTGCTAACTAGTCAGATCCATCAGGGGTCAAATACCTGGGCATGTTGGGGCAGTTTGGGAAATTACCTAGTGGACGATCATAGTGATAGGATCGACTCATTTGTTAGACAAAGAGAATATCAGGCTTAGCACTCTCTCTAATGGAAACCTAAACTATTGGTAGTAGATTTCAACTATATTTAAAATTTGATTTGCAAAATATACTTATATGTTATATTACTATTTTATTAAAAAAAATGTTTGAAAAAGGTTTTAATCCCAGGATCCATTCGAATAGAGAGTGTGACACTACATTTTGTAGTCAAGGAAGAGATCCTCCCTATGGGCAGTGTTTTGATGGTTATGGATCGAGAAATTAGGTGTAAGAGACCATTGTAGGGCTGATTACCTGATGGGTTTTATCTTACACAAGTCCATTATCCTTGGGTCTTCATAGAGTGGCTAAATCCAATGATCATTTATATTTAAATGTTGGGCCCAAACTGAGCCCAAGCTAATTGGGTCAAGGATTCACTACCCTGAGCAGTAAATTCGGCCTAATCTCTTCCAAAAGGTAAGGTTGAACTCTTATGGACTTGTATGAGATCATTGTGGGTCCCACACCATACAATATTCAAGCCCAAAGTGGCCATGCAACACCTTGGGACGTGAACCATTAGTAGGGGTGGAAAATGGGTGGGTTGGGTTGGGTTGGGTGTGGGTTGAGTATCAACCCACCCATATTGACCCACTAACCCATTTCCCACCCATGTTAATGGGTCAAAGAGGGTCACAACCCACTTTGACCCTTGACTACAATTAATCTTTTTTATTCTAATTAAATAAAAACCTAGAACTATAT